TTCTCAAACCTGGATGTAAAGTAAAATTTGGGGGAACATTATTAGCTAGACCTAACCCAGAGGTTTCGGTTTAATTGGCAGAGGGTTGAGTCTGAACATTGTAATTTTTTTAAAGTTCTCCAGGTGATTTCAGTGAGCAGCCAAGAATTGAGAAATCGCTGTATTAAATCCTACTCCTTCCCAAGAGTTGTTTTCCTCGTTCATTTTACATTCTGGTACCTTAAAATGTTCCCATAAAATATTTTTTCTGATTTAGGGTTTTCAGCTATGTCTCATTTTCCACCACCACCACCCAGAGTCAGTCCTCAGCTCCTAGCGACAATGGGAAAAGTGAGGGACCAGCAGTTGGCGTAATGATTATGTCGTTGTACTCTCACATAGTCAACCACGATTCAAGTCCCAGACCCAGTGCACCCACGCTGGGTGCATGCATGCCCAAAATCTCAAGAAGACAATGAAGGAAAAGGGATTGTAGGGTGGCCATCCCCAATGGGGAGTGATTTCTCACTTTTGTCTCTCTGTCTCTCCAGCAAGTGCATGTGCCCTATAGCAAAAATCTCTCTCTTAAAAAAAAAAAAAATGAGAAAAGTGGATATGAGTCCATAAAATTCACAGACGTTAAGAAATTATTTTAGCCAGTCGGTTTAAATCACCGTCTTTACCGCATCTATATACAAGACCACAAATACACTCAAATTGCTTAATTTGGATTTGTACTCTCTTGATGTTCCTGATTTGTTTTGTTGATTTTTGTGTCTGATAAGGGTTCCATTTAACAAATATTTCTTGAGCATCTCCATAATGAAGGCACTCTGAGAAGTGCAGGGAGCTCAGAATCTCTCTGGAAAGGAAAGAATCACGGGTCCTGGACGATCCGTACCTGGCATACTAAACCCTAAAACCATCAACACTTTAATGAGTTGATGTATGTGAATCGCGTGGGCACGGTGCCTGTTTCGTACTTTGTTAATATGTCCCTTTTTCTCTCTTGCAGGTATCCAAACGATTGACTCTACCCAGGCTCTTTTCCTGCCAATTGGAGCATCTGTTTCTCTTCTAGTAATGTTCTTCTTCTTTGACTCAGTTCAAGTAGTTTTTACAATATGTACAGCAGGTAAATGAGTTTCTCGTCTATCCTTAACATACATAAAAGGAAAATATTTCACCTTTTCAAATCATCAATTAAGACTTACACAGCATGCTATGCAAGCTTTTCTTTGTAAGTCTGGTATTTCTCCTCCCCCTGCCCCAGCCTCTTCCTTGAACACTTAATTCACAAGTCATTTCTTCAGACCTCCCAGCACAATCTGAAAGAAAGGTTGGGGATTTAAAACCTCCAAGCTTTATGACACCACAGCAGTATAATTCTTGCTGTAGCTCCTCTTCTGAGGGATACCAGGCCTGGTTTGGTGTGGTGGTCATCCAAAGCGCCATCTGTATTTCTACAGTTGGAAACATTGATAGCTCATCAGGGAATTGACTATTGGCGCACTGATCTGTTTTTTTTTTTTTTTAAGCATATATTTGGGTCACCCAGAGAATGACTTTATTTATTCATTGGTTTTTAGTTTTTACTACAGGACACATGTACTCATTGGAGAGGGAGTAAGAAAGCCGTCTTCAGGCGGTATGGCCATACCACAATCTCTTCTCCATTCTTCTCTCAGGATTTTGGGCATGCACACACACACACATCCCCAGCATGTTTTTTAAGCTGCAGGATCTGGAACTTGAAACTTGGAGTCAGCTGTGTGGGATCTAGTCGCCTTAACCTCCACACTTTTTGCTGGCCCTCTGATGGGTTTTCAAGTTAAGCAATGATACAAATATTTTAAAAATCAGAATGCTACAAGATTTGTTAGGAAATCATCTCCTGGCCACTATTTAATCTATTCTTTGTTGATATGGGAGAGAATGAAAAAACCTACCTATACTTTCCTCTACCTCAAATCAGAGATCTTTTCTTAAAAAGAGGTTGTCTATGCAGTGCCAAAGGAAGATATTTTTTCTTCTCAAGTTAATTAACTTAATTGTATTCACTTGTCAAAGAAAGTATTCTGGGAAATAACTATATTTCTGTAAATGATATCATTTTTCTTACAATTAGTAAAAACTGAGCAACCAAAAAATTAACCATATGTTTTCTTTTTCTCTCTAGTTCTTGCAACAATAGCTTTTGCTTTTCTTCTTCTCCCGATGTGCCAGTATTTAACAAGACCCTGTTCACCTCAGAACAAGTAAGTATTGGAAATTTTTCTGTAAATTGTAAGATTGTATGCATTTTTCTCTCATACTTGATAGCATTGTTAGGAGTCTGGATTTCCGGTATTGACTTGAGCATACAAATGCCAGAAGACGGAGATGTTCGGTATTTGATCTTTAAAACTAGAAGACGGTATAGTACTTCCCAGTGAACCTCTTCATGGCAGAGGAAATAAGAACAAATCTTAGGAAGTCAGAGTTATTTAATGTGCTTCATGCTTAGATTATTGAAAGGCAAGCAGTTTTCCTTGGGAGCAGTGTTTTCCTTCCTTTACTGGTGGGTTAAAGGATGATGAGAATAAATCGTGGTTTTTTTTCTTTGCCATTCATCTTGGTGACCTAGATAGGCGAGGCACTTGCCTTTAATCCCGAAGTTCACACTTTGATTCCTGAAGCTGGTGCTCCGTGGGGCAGAATGGCGTCCGTGCTGGTAAAGGTGCCGAGTGCACTTAGGAGCCCAGTCACGGGCGGCAGCTGATAACCACACCGTTAGACCGTCACAAATACGTATCCGTCTTTGTATATGAATACAATTGTTGACTTTCTTCCTTTTGCTTTCCTCATAAAAATGGAGTTTTACCCATACTTAACTTCTCCAGCGATTGGTATTGTCACTTTAACCTAACTGCCTGTTTGATGGTTTGATTTGAAAGTAATTGTCAAGTGGGTACAAGAGTATAATTCCTCTGAGCTCTTTTTTGGCTTACTCCAAAGAGGTTTGGATGTGTTGGAGTCCCAGCTATAGGTATTGCCTACTTTCGTAATCAGCCATTGTGATGTCTGATCATGAAGAACCAAAGGAGAGTTCAGCTGCTGACAAGCACGCCCATCAGCCCAGTGCATGTTTGTTTTTCAGGATTTCCTTTGGCTGCTGTGGACGCTTCACTGCGGCAGAGTTACTGTCATTCTCACTGTCTGTCATGCTTGTCCTCATCTGGGTTCTCACTGGCCATTGGCTTCTGATGGATGGTGAGTAACTAATATGTAGCAGATTGTAATTTTGTTTAATGTAGTTTTATACATAATTTACTATAGCCACAGTTCTACAACCACAGTCACTAAATCTTAGAGCCCTTTTCCATTACCCGCAACCCCGAAACCCATACCCACTAGCAGTCCACCTGGCCCTAGGCATTCAGTAATTTTCTTGCTGTCTCTGTGAATTGGCCTGTTCTGGATATTTCGTGTAAATGGAGTCATAATCTGTGTGGCCAGCATTTTTAGGGTTCCTCCATGTTTTAACCTGTATCAAGTATTTCTGTCCTTTCTGTGGCTGAATCCTATTTTGTTATATGGATATACCGGTTTTACCAATTCATCAGTTATTTCTTTCTTGGCTATCAAGAATAATACCTCTGTGAATATTCCTGCACACATTTTTGTGTAGACTGTACTTTCTTTTCTTTTCATTTTTTGTTAGAGGATGTGTGTACTCACGAGAGAGAGACAGTGAGAGGGAAGGTGAAAAATCACTCCCCAGGAGGGTGTGGCCATGCCACAATCTCTTCTCCTCCATTCTCCTCCTGGGATTTTTGGGGATGCGTGCACACATGTCTATTGTGATTTTCAAGTGTGCAGTTAGCCACGTGGGATCCAGCTGCCTTAACCACTATGTCTCCTAGCTAACGCCAGTATACCACCTAGCTGACCTGAGTATTTTACTATATATGTGTTATTTAACTGTTGCTGCATCCTTAGAATGTTTTCATTATTTTTATATTAAAATAACCCTGAAGTATACATTCTTGTTCTACCTCTTGGCATATATGCCATATAACTTACTAAATTATGTTCCAAGGATGAGATCATAGATGTAAAAACCACAGGAGGTTTTTACACCTGCTATTATACTACCTTTCAGAAAGGCTGTGGTGGTTTACTGTCCTACCTATGAGAATTCCCCTTCACTGATAATGACAGGAATGAAACCTCAGATTAATTGAGTGTTTTTTATATATTGGGTACTCTGCTGGGTGTCTCACATGAATTGTCTCATTTAATCTCCACAGCAACTTTGAAGTAGGTACTATTTCATTTCCATTTTGCAGAAGCAGAGCTAAAGAACCAAAGTAGTAACTTAATAAAGTCACAGAACCTTGTATTTCTTATGACTGCCAAAACATCTTGGGAAAATTCCTGCTAATTGTCTAGTCTGTCTCTTGAGACATTTTTGGTAGTGAAATGACAGTTTCAGTATTGGATACCAGGCGTTTTACTCTGACTCACACTGTGTCCTTGGAAGTAGAAGGCAAAGGGTCAGACAGCCTTCGTTGTACTTCAGAGAAGATGGAGCGCTTCACAGATGTGCCCTCCTTGCTCGGGGTCACGCCAGCCTTCTCTCTACCACCCCGGTTTTAGTGTATGTGCTGCTGAAGCCCCACGCACCTGTCTAGGCGTTTTTATCTTTTCTTCACATCAGGTCCTGGAGCCCTGTCTCCACCTTCTTTTGCATGCAGTCCCTTAATCTCAAGGAATTTTTATCTAACTGTTCTACCCCACAACACCTGTTTACTTTTTCCTTTATTTTGGTGGTTCAGAAGGAAAAGAGGTTAAAATATAAAGTCAGTCAATTTTATACAGTTTGTCATCTTTAAAGGAAGAATTTGAAAACTGAGGACTTAAGGTATGGATTGCATCCATTCCAGCTGCCCAGGCCAAGCAACCACAAAGGCTAATCCAGACCTTGGAAATGACCCTGTAGAGCCAGCTGCCAGGTCTGAGAGGCTCCTTTGCCCTCTGCCAGGCAGTGTTTCCATGCAGCTCTGAGGCTGGCCCAGCGCCAGTGGAACTGTCATCTGCTGTTGTTGAAGTCCAGATCCCACCAGAGTGACACTTCCAATGCAGGCCTCAAACTCGGGAGGAGCTTAGTCCAGCAGTGTCTAAGCACTGACTTTATAGGGTAGATAGACTTCCTGTGACTGACTTGTTTGCTATTTGGTACATAGTTTGGAGGATTTTTATAGTGGTGGTTTGATTTTTATAATTTAAACACACACACACTTACGGGGCCAGCAGGTAATATGGTAGTTAAGGTGCTAGACACCCACATGGGCTGACCACAGTTTGAGTCCTAGACCTGTTGCCTGAAAATCATGTTAGGCATGTTTGCATGCATGCCTAAAATCCCAGGAGAAGAATGAAGGAGAACAAATTACAGCGTGGCCATCCCCCTGGGGGTGATTTTTCACTTTCCCTCTCGCTCTCTCTTTCTCTCTCTGTCTCTCTCTCTCTGGGAAGCATACACGCCCTATAGCAAAACCCTAAAACAAACACACACTTGCATTAAAAATACGAATTACAGTCCAGGTCCATGGCCTGGTGGATAACACAGCTGGATCGCTCATGGCTAACCGTATGGTTTGAATCTCAGACCCAGCAGCTTGAGAACCATGCTGGGCGTGTTTGCAGGCATGCCTCAAATCCCAACAGGATGGAGAGATGGAGAAGAGATTGGGGCGTGGCCACACCCAACTAGGGAACATTTTTTTCTTTGTTTAATGAATGTATGTGCCTTTAAATTTATTTATTTATATTCATTCACTGTGCATCATTACAGCATACAAAATGAGATTTTCCATCCAGAGTACACCGTATATTGGCTCAATCAAGCACATCAACATACATGTTATTGTCAACAAATAATTCTCCATTTCTTGTTTCCTGTATGTTTTGCTTTTTTTCCCTATCCTTGATTCCCTATCTCTTACCCTTTGCCATCTCTCACTCTCATCTCACACTGTCTCTGGTATCTATGTTTGCTTTCTTTACTGTTTTTCCTCCACATTTATTGAATTACTAAAGATCTTAATTAACCTAAATATTTTCATAGCAAACACAGCTGATATATACATTTCCATGAACACAAGTCTAACTTTAGGCACCTATAAAGTTGCACCTAGCTGGGGCCCTATATCTTACTGTAGTCATCGAATAGATGTTTGTTTTTTATTTCTGAAACTTTTTTTTAACTTAATTTACATGCTTTCCCTAAGCATCGTCACAGCATACAAAATGTGATTTCCCATCCAGAATATACTGCATAGTGACTTAATCATGCATATTATTATCAAAAATTCCATTTCTAGTTTCTAGAATTTTTTTTACCCCTCTTTCTGACCCTCGTCTTTCTCACCCTCTTCTCACACTATCTCTGGTGTCTACAATTGCCTTCCATTCCTTTCCACCCACATTGTATTGATCACACAATTTCTTAATTAATCTAACTACTTTCAATAGTAAGTTCACTTGATACTATTAAGAAAACCAATTTTAACTTAAATCAAAGAAATGCTAAGGAACTTTGCTTAAAGCCAGGAAACAGGTTAGGATTCTGTTCAAATGGTAGGTGCATGAACTTATCCATATCTCAAGACAGGACACAAATCCTTACAACCAGATAACAAAGTCTACAAGAAAATCAGCAATATTTTAGTCAAAAGTCATAAAATTATACTTCACCAATTCAGCCTCATGTACTCTATCTTCTGTTGTGGTTCAATTTTCCCAGTTAAATTCTGGGATATAATATTCAACTCCAGGCTTGTCCCTATGATTAAGTTGGCCACTTTCTTGGTTTTTGGACTCTTATTTCTGTATGTCTGTATTTAATTTTCCTGATATAGGCACTCCCTTGAGAACTTCTTGGAGATCTTGTCTGGTGCTGCTAAATTCTTTCAGGTTTTGTTTATCTGAGAATGTTCTTGTCTTTTCTTCCCACATGAAAGATAATCTTGCTAGGTACCATATTCTTGGCTGAAATTGCTTTTCTCTTAACACTTTGA